GTCTAGACCTGCTCTATTTGAAAAGTGTCCTGAGATAACTTCTGTTATGAATTGGCACTATACAAATAAAATTTAATTGAAAATTGAATTCTTGTGATCACAACATTGCAACTTCCTGGAGGGATTGTAATGTGTGCGCTGACAATAAAGTTAGTGACAGGAACAGACTACATGGTGTTAGCAGCTAATCAGTCCCTCCAGGAAATTTCAATATTGAAACTGCAACAAGTAACGCAAACCAATCCCTGTGAATTCTGCACAACCTTGCAATTTTGTCCAGTCACCACAAGTTTTTATGCAAATTTGACCATGATCATTGTAGTGTTTCACCGATCATAGCAGACCTCTTCACAATATTGAATCATATGTCACTAAACTCCTCCTTGTTTCTACTTGGGAAGATGCAGACGATGAAAAAACACATTTACTAATAAAAATTACTGACTTCTTTCTTTTCCACATTTTTCTGTATTTTTTGACATTTCTACCGCAAAACACAAATCACCATTACAGAGGCTGTTGCATCCAGATCTATTGCAAGAGCTGAAAGAATGTAAGTGAGTTAGATGGTATGTTTGTGGTAACATTGGTGTGGTAACATATAAATCACAGTGATAGAGATGTGTTTGAAATAGGCCGCAACAATCCCAAAAAAAGCCCATGTAACCCTGGAAGGACTGAAGCTATTTGCTGTTCTACTTACAGGGATATGAGGTTACACAGCTGAACCAAATTCAGGAACACTGACAGCTGCATTTTGGTTCAGTATTCTTCCTCCTTATCAAACTCTGTATCAGTATTTGTGCTGACTTTAGTTGACGACTTTTATGATTCAGTACTTAAAAACATGTTTTCCTTTTAATTTAGTTAATAAAAACTTCTTAGCAACTAAAAATATCTCAACATATTGGATCTGATGGTGAACTGTGTGACACATATCAAATCATCTGATCCAAACTTATAAACTGATCTCTAAACTATCTTGTGTTTGGAAAACACTTCTCCCTCCACACTCCTTCCTTATTTTCTTACCAGGAAGTGAAGATGAGGACAGAGTTCTGGAGAGGCCCTGTGCCAGCAGGTTTGGCTGAAAAAGAATAAAACTAGTAAAAACATTTCTCAGTGTTTTCTGATTGATCAGGTAAATATTCCCTCGCACACCCACCATGGCCTCTGTGGTGGTCAGGTGAGATAACCTGTCAGTGTTGGCCGGCTGCTGTTGATGCATCATAGACTCCGCCCTCTGGATGATGTCGTACATGCGGAGGATGAATCCTTCTCGCTCTGACGGCAGGATGAAGTCTCTGTGCGTCTGAGACAGAAAGAAAAAAATTAAAAACCACATTGTAAGAATTGTATTCTCTTTATGTTTAATTTATTTCCAAATATCATATTGTAATAAAATAAAATAAAACATATACAGAACATACATCATCATTCATATCGTCTCAAATGCGACTGACCCTTCATAAGCCCTGCCCCTTTTGGTTCTGTGCTCCAACAACAGTTGAGCAACTTTCTCCTTTCCTGTACTTAGATATGCTACATGCTAAGCTAATCTATGTTGAAAAGACAACCCCATTCCGAAGATGGTTAAAAGATAAAAGAGACATATAGTGAGCTTCTGACTGAGGCTTGCTCAACTGTTATTCATAGTTTTCAATCACGTGACTAACATACTAACAATATGGCGACTTACATTAGAAACCACAAATAAGGTATTTGAATAATATCCATTGATTTTAACCATGAATATTTATATCACCTCTCAAAAGATGAAAAACAAAGATACGTGGACAAGCTGCAGGTTTTGGGTTGTTGTGTTCCACATACAGAACCCGCTGCAGTATTTATAGTATAAGTCACTGCCAGAGCTCCAGTTTGATCTTTATATCTCTCTTATGGAGAATCCCTCCCCTCATACTGCCGCAGACTGAAAGCAGACACAAGTAGAGACTGAAGATGTCCTCAGATCAATGAAGGCATTTTTAACTGATCCGATCGGCTATATTGAGCTTAATTGATCCCATCTTTTATTTTACATCAGCTGTCACACTGCTGTTTTTACTGGTGAAGCCATCATCAGCTCTCTCTCGCTGTCTGCCTCTCCACTGTGAGCTCTGTGTGAGAGACAGCGGCAGAGATCAGACACAATCACAAGTACAACAAATGCCAATAAGAGGAATTAATGAATGTAATCCACCAAAAGATGTAATTCAGGTAATTCTGGTGATTCAGTGCAGCCAAACACTGCAGAGGCAGAAAAGATTATAGAGAAGGTTTTATTGTGTAGAAGCACAACCCAGTCCTCGTCTTCCTCTTCCTCCTCCTTCTCTTCCTCCTCCTTCTCTTCCTCCTCCTCCTCTGTTAGTGCATCCGATCACACAACAACTATCTGACATTATAAACCAGGTCTGTGTCCACGATCACTACCGTGGATAAATCCAGGCAGGAGTTTGAGAGGATAAAGACGACATACTCCAGGAGAAGCAGCGCTGTGCTCTGATTGGCTGCTGGTGCTCACCATCACAGAGGCGATGTCCTCCGGATTGTCTCCGTCCAGGTCGAACTTAAAGGTCACCATCTTACTGTTGTGAGTCTGCAGCTGACACTCCACCACCCGGTCCAC